GCACTATCTTTTCGCAGCCTCCGCTCATTTCATTCAAACGCGACAAAAACTTAGGCAATTTTTTGGTCAGAAGTTCTTTTCAGACTAATGAGCAACCAGGCACTTTTAAATGCGCTCGTGCACGATGCAAAACGTGTCCTTTCATTCACAACACTGATAAAATATCGGGACCTAAACGATCCATTAAGATCACCGATCACTTCACGTGCACCTCCGCCAATGTAATCTATTGCATAACTTGCACTTATTGCAAAAAGATATACATCGGCGAAACAGGCAGAAGACTAGGTGACCGATTCCGAGAACACCTTCGAGACGTGGAAAGGAATGACAAGGACACATCGAAACCAGTCGCTAGACATTTTAATTTACCTAATCATTCTAAGCAACATATGGCAATCTGCGGTCTTTCCTTGCACTTAGGTGGCACGGAAAGCCGTAAAAATCTTGAACAAAAGCTCATCTTTCAAACCGGCAGTCTAAATCCCACAGGGATCAACGAACGCTTTTCATTCCACTAATTTATTCATGTTTTTCTCGTTGCCATGCTCCCACCAATAACGTAGCTCCATTTTCTGCCTTTAAAAGCACACACAACCCACAATTCCTCTATTCGCTCCGACGAAGGGCTAACGCTCGTAACGTCAGCTTTTGTAATCATTACGGTGGCCAATTTACCATTTCAACTTTGTTGATATATCCTAACTAATTAATAGCTGCAGGAGATGGGACCTATGGTTTATTCGACCTTATCCGAGAAGACTAGAATGTCAATCCATTTCTTGATATAATAGAAAGGTAGCGCATTCTCCTCAGTTATTTTTAAGACCTTGAGTGTTGGTCCGGCCGGGGCTCGAACCATCGACCTCGACCTCCCGCACAACAGTCCAGCGCTCTAACCAATTGTTTTTCTTTCTCTACCAAGTTTTTTTAAAACGACCCCAAAGTTAACACAATGACTAATCTGAATAAGAGAATATACCTAAAGGACCCACTTGCAGATCGAAGGTGAAATAAATAAACTGTGAAGCACGGGAAAACCTGAGTGTCCAGGTTGCGACTGGTTTTTTGTTAGTATCTGATTGGTTGAAAGAGTGATGCGTGTTTCCATTGCAAACCATCGCAATGTTAGGTTACTTCCTACATTAATTTGAAAGATACTCTGTAAAGTGATAGCTCTGTCAACCAATGCCTTTAGGAACTATAAAAGATCCGTGGTTACTTATGTTTTACTTAGCTCTCCTATTCTTAACTTGTTTGAGTTCTCTTTTACTTATTTTACAGTCGGGCAGTAACACGAGGAGTAAACAAGGGAGCCAAGGAAGACTTTCGTGCCGCCATGGAGAGGCAAGTCGGTCGCAGTGATGAAAGCTTTGAACCACTCCTCAAAGCTTTCTTACAAAACGAGAAAGATTCTCTTCTAAGCTGACACAAGCATGCCGCAACTATGTAACCAGGCGTATAACTGAGAAACAATTCTAATAAAGCTAGGAACGTAATGAGAATTGCTGTGAATGTATTATGGGTTTAGTTTTTTGAGCTTTAAAGAAATCTTTATTTTTATGAGCCCTGTAAATTGAAAGAATAGTTCTGCATTCTCCTGAACCAAACGAGAAGACCAAACCTACTGATATGATGAGTTCCGCACGTGATTACCTGTTTCGCGCGTGATGTCTAACTTTGTCTGAAACTGTACTTCGGTGACTAACATTGTTATCTAGCCACTAAAATGTCCCAAGTCTTCACACTATTGTATCACTCGTTTCATTTTAGAAGTTTGACCAAAATATTACAAATACAGAATAAGAGGAGATCTTGCACTGTATATATTGAGAATAAAATTAGTTGTTATGGTTGCCCATCGTTATTTTCGTGCTGTTTATCTTTCAGAACCCAAAGTTAGGCTAGGATGCCCTCGCGGATTAATTTTTTTTTTTTTTAGTTTTTTTGTTTTTTTTGTTTTTAGTTTTTTTTTGTTTTTTTTTTTGTCAATCGAGCACGGAGTCAATTCGTCATCGATGTTAAGAACAGCGGGTAAGTCCGCCCTACGAAGAGAATTAGAGCGGGTTGTTCATTGGTACACGCCTATATGATACAACTTACCATCTGCTTGCCGGATTACGTGAGCTGGAAGGAAAAGACCTTGGTGATACCCTTTTTGTAGCTCGACGAGTAACGAGGATTGTTGTGATCGATTTGAGTCTCTGCGTCCATTTGGTGGCATACTTTATACTCACTGAGGTCAGTGGTTCGAATCCCGTACAGGCCTGATTTTTTTCAGGTCTGATTTTCGCTATCGCTTAAATAGCGCTATCTACTGCGAGGATCGTGCATCATACGTCACTGCTTTGACGGCTTGTGTGTACATACACGACGTACTCGGTTGCTTGGTGCTCAGTCACGGTAGGTACTGGGACTAGCTTCTTACTTTGCTTTGAATAACTTTTGTTTCCCGGTCACGGTATATTTTTCCTGGCATTTAAAGCGCAGTCGTTTTATTTGGAGAAAAAACTCGGGTTCAAGTTGACAACGTGTCCTCAACTGACTGGTTCAAACCTGCATATCTAGGGTGGAAAGTAGGTTTGCAAAAAGATAACCTTGATCGAATCAAAGCACTAAACGCGAACGGAGAATTTATACCGTCGAGATCGTGGATTTACAGTGTATGTGGGATGAAAATTCGTGTCTTTTGCAATCATTGAGACAAGGTGTACAAATTCTGTAACCTAGAAAGACTTATGCGATCCCCATAATCTGAAATCGGAAAAATACAGGTGTTCCATTGTACAACAATATCATTCGGCTTTCGTTGCCATACTATTAACAATCTTCACATTTACTCGTTGCTATTTTTTTTTTAATTACTAAGTCGCTTGTGTACTCATCCTTTCCAGGTAGGTACGTCCCGAGGGATGACTTTGAAAAGAGCAATTTGCGGGACGGGACCAAATCAGGATTTCTAGTACTGTTAGGGAGAAACTCAGTCGCGGCGTGATTTGCGTGTATGCGGTAATCGTACAATTGCAAAGCATAGTGAGAAAAATTTATACATCTTGCTCTAAAATAGTTGAAGAAAGAAGCTCGTTGTCCTCTTGGAAAGATGGGAACTATTGGGAAGATGGCTTATAAATTCGAAGCAATTCTTCGCAGTTTCAAAGTTGTTGCTTGGCCTTGGGTATTTCACCTTTCGCGTAAGTTGTCGTACGGAAAGAAAAGACAAGAACTAAAGCTATGAAGCGTGCTTGCCAGACAGCATCTAAGTTGATTCGACGATGCTGAAGTGCTTATTCGGGGTCTTCATGAAAAGGCCCGCTTTCCTTTCGCTCCTCGTTTAGAAAAGCAGTTTATGTGTTTACTGTTTTCCAGCCGCTTGCGCCGGTCAACACTGGATTTAAATGGCTAGTTTTGATCCCAATTTAGGATACGATTTTTGATGGATTGTTGGCCGGTGGAGCTCGAATCATAACTGTTATCGAAAACACATCAAGGAGGAAAAAATTGAGAACGGTGTTTTATCGTCTTTTCGCGAGCGTGAAAAAATGTTCAGACTACCCATGAGAAGTCGAACCTCAGACATACACATCTCGCTTCGATGCTCCATCGCTGAGCCACAGAGACCCTTTATGGGGAGAAGGAATGCAGACCGCCTTCTTGGTCAGTTTTCTTTGTAAGGGAAAAACCAACTACACTGTACAGCAGCTTGCAACCACTTCAATGCATTGGCTAGTTTGATTTACCATCTCTGCACTGGCCAGTAATCGAACGGAGCAGGTTGTTGATTTCACGCAGTACATGGCACGAATCCAGCGATGGTTTGCGCTGATTTTATCAAATCGTGTTCGATGCTTGAGTTTTTCTCGTAAGTCCAAATGATAAAATAAATAAAGTTCAGAAACTTAGCCAAACCTTTTTAATACAGAGCATAGTTAACCCTCGATTAACTATGTGCAGAGTCAATACACAACAGGTTCTGTCGAGGCGACTTGACCAATAAAACAGCACTGCAGTTCAGTGGGATACAATGGTTGATAGTTGATAATAAAATGGAAGCAAAACGCGATTACTGAAGTCTTCTGAAGATACATGATCATCCAAAGCTTATTAGGAGTTTCTTTCTATCTTTAACAACACAACCGAGGATCGTTTCTGAATAAGCCAGAAGATTGCCTGTCAGAGGCGGAAGCACACGGTATACCGCTGTATCGTGGCGACTTTTAAAGAGTATACACGAGAAGGCTCGACTGGGAAAACCCCGCGCGCGCGCGAACTTGTCAAAGCGCTGAAACTAAACAACATGGTCTCCAAAGGCTCTTTTAGACCTTCCACTTGAAAATATGATGTATATCAGTCTCTACACGGAATGGACGCACACGGTATCGAAGAAAAGAAAATGAAAGGGTTTATTGCTCTCTGGGCTACTAATAATATCGTGTGCTCTTCACTCTTCATATGCAATCTACGAATCTCGCTTGGGTCCTAAATTCTTGATCATTCGCTTTTTAACTAATTTCACAAGTTCTTCCCCGACGAAATGCAACTCTTTCAGCAGTTTTTACTTTTTGACTCATTTTTGTGCATGGGCATTTAGCACAGTGAACGATGAAGTCTCCAAACCACCGCAAGATGAAAGTGCGTTGAGAACCGGACGTTTGGGGAATACCCAAGAGGCCTGGTCGCTCAATCGGCTGGCGTGTTGCAGATTTCTCTCCCTATAGAACGTCGGCTCAGAATTTTTTCGATTTTGATCTGACTTTTCTTTACATTCTGACGGCATGATTCAGCGCAAAGGGTGGTAAAATGCAGAATCGACGCCAGTTTTGTTAAAAACTATTTGTTTATTCTGTTTGGACCCATAATTGTCTGCGGTCGCAGCAGCACGTGTGAGACGCATACTCATGCGCACAAAAAGGGAACATGGCGCGAATGAAATATCCTGGAACTAACAAGGCCCGATGTGCTCCCAAGAAAAAGAAGAATTTTACCATGTCCGGACGGATTAAACAGGAGCAGTTCGGCGAAAAGCTTAAGAGTTCATTCAAGAAGCCAGTTTGTATAAGCCTTCGAAAATACCGGGAAATCTTCGGAGATTCCGATGAAGAGGTGCTTCATCAATTTGCCATTGCATGCTTATTTCAGAGTTTTGTTTATGAAGCCTGTTCACTTCTTTCGAAAAGTAAGCTTGATTGTTTTGCACATTTCTGATTTTTTATTTTTTCTGTTTTAGGAAGAAGAATTTTATGGCTTTCGCGCAGAGGATTTGGGTCTGAAAGCGTATCGCTCTTTCTCTGTCAAAGATTATCTGGATGGCAACGAAAGAATAAGTTATCGCAAAGATGGCGCCAGAGACCGACTATCAAGACATTTAAGTGGTAATGTGCCTAAAATACTCAAAGCTGAATCCCCTCAGCATAAAAGCAACGCGAACGAAGCAGAGAATAAACCTCCCGCCGCATCACCGAGCCAAAATGTTTACGCGAAGCTGTACAAAAAGAGAGATTCGTACGAAAGAAGATTCGCGCGACCTGCCCAAGAATTCGATAAGGCTTATCTGTCAGCGAACGTGAAATCGACAACAAAAGTCAAGGCGAATTTTGTACCGCGGGTCCAGAAAACTTTAGTGAGTGAAGGAATCAATCACCACTCATCGCCAAACCTACATGAGAGCAATTTAGCTCGTTTCCACATGAAGAAAAAGGCTGTGCCTCTGGCGAGACAATTGCTTGCAAAAGCGAAGGAGGGACAGAGAATTCGGAAGCAGAGAAAGTTTGATGCAGTAAACAAAGAGGGCCAACCAGTGCGATCGCGGTCTGGCCGTGTAGTGAAGAGTAAAAAGTTAGACTACGACGATGTCACATCGCCGAAATTTAAAGTCAGGAGAGATGAAGGGAGTATGACTGGATCATCAAACTATGTCAATCGAGTTGCTCGAAAAAGGCGCTCGGAAGATGGCGAAGTTCCTCCGAACAAAGCTTTTCGAACTGCGAAGGTGAAATTGGAAAAGGTGGAGTTACCAGGCGATCAACGAGTCTACGTGAATAATCCAGGTATGTTAAATTTTATGAAGCAGTAATAGAAAATATTTCTGTATTTATTTTATCAAGGTAGTTTTAATCTTAGCATGATAAGTTTTTGTTTTGTTTTTTTTTTTTGTTTGAAGATCTAAAGAAGCTACATGCATGTATAGCATCAAAGAAACAAAATAAGTGATTTAAGATAATGACTTTCCATCTAACAAAAGATTCATCAAAATCAAATTATATTACCCCTTACCATATCAATAGCTTACACAAGAAGACCAGACATGCAATAAAAAATGCAATAAAAGCAAGAATGAAATACTAGATATTTGAAAATTACACTGTAATGATATGCATAAAACTTCCCACAACCTGTGTGAAATAGGCATAATGAAAAATGTGTTGCAAAGATATGTTGCAAAAATTATTTGTACCTGTTAGGTTGGTAATAACTCTGAATCGGACAAAGGTTTCTTAAAATGAGAACTTGTTTTGAATTCTTTAAAAGACCAGGAAATGCAAACCAAGAGTCTATAACTGAAGAGTGTGTTGACTTTTTCTAGCATCATATTCCTATTCCATCCCAGTTCTGTTTCAGTCACAGTTGTTGACATTTGTAATTTGTTTACCTCTGGATTACAATACCCCCTTGAATGATCAGCAATATGGAGTAATAAGCTCAAAAGTTAAAATGTTTTACCACTTACTATATATTTATCAAAATATCTCCTTCCTTGTTGTTCAAAGATGAATCCTTGAATAGGTTTTATACAGTAATATTAAATTTCTGTTCACCAGTCTCTCCAGAATCTAGCCTCTAAGATTTAAGACATATTTTGAATTTTGAAAACACTTCAATTAAGAAAAATTGTCCTTGATTCACCTTTATTACTGCAAAGATTGCTTTCATATTCATTTGGTTCATCTTTGTTATACTAATGAGCACTGAAGAGGAAAAGAAATAAAATTAAAATTATAGGAAAGAGTTTTTAGTAATGTTTACTCAGAGCTTAAAAAATATTGTCTGAAGGTGATTTGTTTAATTAAAATAATTGCAAAAAAACTGCATAAACTGCTTGTGCATTTTATGATTAATTACAATCACAAAAAATTCACAGTGTAACTCTTCTATGTTCTTGTGTTCCAATTCCCCATTTAATGTTAATGTATACTAGCCAGATTTCAGACCTGGGCAAAAAGTTTCCACCAGAGTAGAAAACGACATTAAGTTATTCTTATTTCCTTAAGGAATTAACTGTGTTACTATTCCCCTCCAGTTTAGCTACTTTTTTAAGAACATGAGAGTAGTCTATACAACTGTAGCTTGTAAAATGAACCTTAACAAATGTAGATTTATTCTTTGCAGCTTCACCCACAGGATTTGAAATCCAACCATTGAGCTCTACTGGTGTACAGGTATGTTAAGAAATGATAGTTTCACACCTGTACAATGACAAGATGATTTTAGCTAAAAAGCAAATTGCTTCATGCTTTCATCAAAATAAATAGGAGACACTAGATAATGAGCAGTTATGGTCATTGTTGCAGTACAACTCCACAATGTTATTTTAAAGGTCTGAGTGGAAAACAACAAATGTGGCACAAGGGACATAAGCTGACTTGTCTTAACCCTTTACACTCTAACCTCAGTATGTATATTCTCCATACTGTCCTCTATACATTTCCTATGATGCTGACAAGGAGAATTTGTTCAACAATCAAGAGCTTCTATATTCTCATGATCTTTATATTTGATTCAGGGGTGGTGTTGTGGGGA